AAGATTTGGCACTCCGGGGCAGTGGGACACATGCGTGTAGTGTCAACTCTGTTATGAGGCTGAGGCAAGAAAGTTGCTTGAGCCCAGGAGTTCAAGACCAGCCTGGGCAACACAGCAAGACCTCAACCCCAAAACGAAAACGAACACAAACCAGAAGACTTGACAGGTGTTTTTGCTACGCAAATAGTCCAGAAGTCAGAGAGGAGGTTTCTGAAGCCAAACACATAGGAGAATTGAGTGTAGTCGGTCCTACTGATAGAGCAAGAAAAGGGCCTCGCTTAGATTAGATAGATTACTGCTTCAGTGGGTATCTGACACCTACTCAGTAAGGGGCTGAATGGAACTGAAAAAATCACCAGCCTTCTAGGTGGTACTACAATTCCTCCAAAGCGTGCTTAGGAAAGAGAGAACACCCACCTCCTGAAGCTACACAGAGGTGGTAATGTCCAGGGCTGAGCTGGAAGACCCCGCCCCATCCGCTCACACTCACCCCAGGTGTGCTCAGAGTGCAGAATCTGTGAAAGGTTGGGCCAGGGCCCCACACACTCCCTCACCTTCTTCTTGAGCTTGCTGAATTTCTTCTGCAGAGCCTCCTCCTCCTCGCTCAGTCCGGGGGGGATCACCAACATGGTGGCTCCTGGTTCAGGGGCAGGGCCCAAGACATCTTTCTCCACCGTCACCACCCAGGGTCCACACGCCAGCCACCCTGGACCCCAGTCCACCCTCCAGGCCTGCTACTCCTGCCTCTGGCCGTTCCCTACCCCTTGTTTAGACCAGGCTGCCGTCCGAGCTCCCGTTCGTCTCAATCAACCAGCATTTCTGTTTCCAAGGATTACAGACACCAGAGCCTTGGGGTACCATGTGGCCCGGGGAGGGGAAAACATCCCCTCTGTCGCCAAGACAAGGCACCTGACCGCCCTGTGCCCATTAGGGTTAGAAGGGCCGGCCGCGGGGTCCGACCGCAGAGAAAGCGGCTGAATCCGCGCAGCGCTCTCGGAGCAACGAAAAGGGGAAGAAGAAGGAGGGAGCTCGGAAAAGAAGGGCAAAAAGTGAGGAGGAGAAGCCCTTACCTGAGGGGGCGGCAACCCGGGCCCCGAGGTCTCGGGTGGCCCCGCGCTGGCAGCTGAGAGCGGGCTCAGAGCGATGACGCGACCAGGGGCGGAGAACGCGGTAACCTAGGCGGCGGCCGAAGCGCGGGCACTTCCGCCCGGCCTTCCCGCCTACCAGGCCCGCCCCTCCGCTGCGCTCCTACCTGCGGCCGGGGGTGTGCCGGAAGTGGGCTCCACTCCCGCCCACTCGGGGGCGGGGATTACTCGTGGCTACACGCTCCACTTCCGGGCAGCAGCGGTGGGTCCAGGATGATCGAGACAGAGCGACTCGGTGAGGACGAGGGAGGTGGAATGGAGTAGTGGAAAGCTAATGACCTCTAATCTCTAACCTCTCCCCTTTAGTGCTGCCTCCCCCGGATCCCCTGAATCTGCCCCTTCGGGCTGTGGAACTGGGATGCACGGGGCGCTGGGAGCTGTTGAATGTGCCTGGTCCTCCAGAAAGCACCGTGAGTGACTTTAGACCCTAACCTTCGACCCGCATTGTGCCCAGAACTTCCTCTACTCTCACAGTAGGATCTAGCGTGACCTCGCCTCCCTGTGCCCCGCCTGATGCTGTACTCGTCCCTCCGCAGTGGACCTTCGTGGCTGGGAGCCCACGCGAGGACAGAGAGGCGGTGCGGGAGATACCGTAGCTCTGAGAGCTGTCCTTTCAGTTGTGCTTTTTCTCCTTGTGCCCCTTATTTCCCAAGCACCAGGACACTTCGTGGCTGAGATGCCAGCTTTTGAGTGCCTGTCCCTACATCTAGGCGCGGGACTTCTTAAAGGAGTGATTCTCAACTTTATGGCTCAGAATTAGCAGGGGAGCTTTCTTTTTTTTGGCACCGGGGATCGAACTTGGGTCCTTGTGCTTGCACAACAGGCGACGAAACCACTGAGCTAAATCTCCAGCCCAACAGGGTAGCTTTTTTTTTTTTTTTTTGGTACCAGGGATCGAACTCGGATCCTTCTGCTTGCAAGGCAGGTGGCGGAACCACTGAGCTAAATCCCCGGCCACTGGGGTAGCTTTTTAAAAATATAGATGCCTAGGTTTGGTCTCTGTGAGTCTGACATCCAAAATCTGTATTGTGACTAGTGCCCCAGGTAATTCAGTAGCAAGTAGTTTGGGGATAAACTTTGAAAATTATTGCTTCACCCCAATAGTCCTGCTCTGTTTGAGACTACTACCATTTCAAATCAAAGTACAGAGCCCATCTTCTCTTTTGCCTGCACTTTGATCTCTCTCCCAACTTAACACCTTGTCTTTCTTTGCTCCAGCTTCCCCATGGCCTCCCTCCATGTGCCCCAGATCTGCAGCAAGAAGCAGAGCAGTTGTTTCTGTCCTCCCCTGCCTGGCTGCCCCTGCATGATGTGGAGCATGCAGCTCGGTGAGGCATCTGGAGGGACCAGAGAGGGTGACGGGTTGCTGAAGGAAGCTGGGCTGGGGAGAAAGAAGACTTCAAAGCTACTTCCTTTCAGAAAATGGCAGAGGGAGACAGATCCCTGGTCCCTCCTGGCTGCTGTCGGGGCCCCAGTCCCATCGGACCTTCAGGCCCAAAGACACCCGACCACAGGCCAGGTCCTGGGCTACAAGGAGGTGAGAGGTCAGGGGCCACAAGAGGCAGGGTGGGGGGTGGAGGTCAGCGGCAAGCTCAGCGTGGCTGGCTGTCGTCCCCCGTTCAGGTCCTGCTGGAGAACACGAACCTGTCGGCCACGACCTCCTTGTCTCTCCGCCGGCCTCCAGGGCCAGTCTCCCAGTCTCTGTGGGGGAATCCCACACAGTATCCTTTCTGGCCAGGTGGCTTGTGGGGATAGGGTGGCAGGAGACAGGCCCCCAGTCCCGGGGAAGGGTTTGCTGCCCCTCCTGTTTTGCGGTGGTCTCATGAAGCACTGTCTGTCCGCCCTCTCCCCAGGTGGGATGGACGAGCCCAGCCTCATGGACCTGAGCTCTCGGGAGGAGCATGAGGAGGAGCTAGACTTCGAGAAAGGTGAGTTAGGGTCCGTGACTGGGCCTTCCGTGTGCCTGCACGTTAGGAGAGCTCCGGCCCCACAAAGGAGAGTGCTCTTTCCCAGCTGTCTGCACCACTGTCAGCTGCAGCGGCAGCGGCACAGTAGACTTTGGTCGCCGTGTCTGCGGTGCTGTCTGTGTCCTGTAACGCAGCGGCCCTGACTCCGTCTCCCTGTCCTCCCTCTCCAGACCTCCTCACTGTCCCACCTGGCTTCAAGAAGGGTGTGGACTTTGCCCCCCAGGGTGAGTTTCTGAGAGCTTGAGGTGGAGCCTTCTCCTGCAGAGACGGCCGTGACAAGGTGGGCCCTCTGCCCTGTCTGCAGATCGCCCAGCCCCCGCACCCGGGTTACTCAGCCTCAGCTGCCTGCTGGAGCCGCTGGATTTGGGTGGGGGCGACGTGGAGGAGAATGAAGCAGTGGGACAGACAGAAGGACCCAGAGGGGACGCTGCTTCCGCCTCTCCCTGCAGGGCTCCCTTGGCTCGAGCGAGCAGTTTGGAGGACCTGGTGTTGAGGGTCGGTGGTTGTGGGCGCCAGAGGCAGGGAGAGGGGCCCTGCTGCAGAGGGCGGGTGGGGCGGCTGGGGAAGCTGCACTGCCTTTGGGCGGGGAGCAGTAACCGAGGGGCCCTCCGGCTGGCTCTCCCAGGAAGCTGCCACAGCCCCGCCGGAGCCTCCCCAGCCTCCGCTGCAGGAGCAGTGGGCCGTGCCTGTGGACGTCACCTCCCCGGTGGGTGACTTCTACCGCCTCATTCCCCACCCAGCCTTCCAGGTACTGTGGCCCTGTCCTCAGGCTCCCCCACCCCTGGGCGGCCTGGGTCCCCGTCCTGCTCCCCTGTGCACCACTTGTCTCTGCTCCCCACCTGAGGCCAGCAGCTTCCAGGTGGCCCAGACCCTGACCCCCATCCTCTCCCGCTCCTGCCTTCTGCCCCTCACACCCAGGAGCAGGACCCGGGAAGACCCTTCTCCCTCCTTCAGCCCCCACCGGTTTCTCTCCTGCAGTGGGCGTTTGAGCCAGACGTGTTTCAGAAACAGGCCATCCTGCACCTGGAGAAACACGACTCTGTGTTCGTCGCAGCCCACACCTCTGCGGGGAAGACCGTGGTGGCCGAATACGCCATTGCCCTGGCTCAGAAACACATGACGCGGTAGGCACCCTCCCCTGAGGCCCCCCCCCTCGCCAGCCCCACTGTCCACCGTCCCCTGCATCCTTCCTGGGCCTTATCCTGCCCCACCTCACCACCTCATCCTGTGGACGAAGGCTCAGGACATGGACTGAGGCGGCCCAGAGAGAAATGAGCAGCCATGGCGGGAGGAAGGTTGGAAAAGATGACCTTGGGAAGTCTAGGAGAGGCTGAGGCAGAATTGTTCTGGGGTCCTATTTTGAAGGAGGATGTGAAGGGCGTCAGAAAGGGGAGCACTGAGCCCCTGGGGTGTGCGTGTGGGAGGGCTCAGCTGGGTTGAGGGGCCACTTGGCAATGAGTGTGTGGAGGAACTGGCTGCTTTTGCTATCTTCCCAGCACCATCTACACCTCGCCCATCAAGGCCCTGAGCAACCAGAAGTTCCGGGACTTCCGGAACACATTTGGGGACGTGGGGCTGCTCACGGGGGACGTGCAGCTGCACCCTGAGGCTTCCTGCCTCATCATGACGACGGAGATTCTCCGGTAAGGGGCACTCAGCTTGGGGCGGAGTGCTGGCTGAGGAGGGCGGAGGTGGGAGTCAGCCTGCGGCTCTTCCCCCCAGCTCCATGCTGTACAGCGGCTCGGATGTCATCCGGGACCTGGAGTGGGTCATCTTCGATGAGGTTCACTACATCAATGACGCCGAGGTGAGGTGCCTGGGGTCCCTAGGGCACGAGTGCAGCAGCTCCCCGACTGCGCACACCCTGAGGACCTTACGCCTCCACCCCAAATGGAGCCCGCCCACTTCTCGGGGACAGAGGGACGCCTCTCGGCTGCCCTGACCGTCCCCCACCTTGCCCAGCGCGGGGTCGTGTGGGAGGAGGTGTTCATCATGCTCCCCGACCACGTCTCCGTCATCCTCCTGAGCGCCACTGTCCCCAACGCCCTGGAGTTTGCCGACTGGATTGGGTGAGGCGTCTTCCTGAGGTGCCTGGGGGAGGGGGGTTAGCGTTGGGGGACGGGGGAGGGGCCTAAGCCTGGGGGTGTCCCTGGGGAACACACGGCACCCGGCTCCTGCAGGATCCCGGATGCTTTGCATGTTGACATGGGATGGTGGGGGCAGAAGAGGCTGTGGGAAGCCAGGGTAGGAGCTGGAGAAGGGCAGAGCTGGGTTCCCCTCACCCCCCCGACCTCCTCCCCTCGTCTTCCTCCCCTCAGGCGACTGAAGCGCCGTCAGATCTACGTGATCAGCACGCTCACACGGCCTGTTCCCCTGGAGCACCATCTGTTCACGGGAAACAGCCCCAAGACCCAGGGGGAGCTCTTCCTGCTGCTGGACTCTCGAGGGGCCTTCCACACCAAGGGGTAAGCCAGGGCCGGGGGGTCGGGGCCAGGCCCGGGCCCAGCCAGGCCTCATGGCTGCCCACCCTCTGCCCAGGTACTACGCAGCCGTGGAGGCCAAGAAGGAGAGGATGAGCAAACACGCGCAGACCTTCGGGGCCAAGCAGCCCGGGCGCCAGGCTGGGCCCGCGCAGGTGGGGCGGGGAGGGCCCTGCTAGCCCAGCTCCATTCCCTGGTCCCGCTGCACTTGAGCACTGAGCTCTGCTTGATCGACGGCACTTTACTTCCGGTCCCTTCTGTTCCCTTTCCTCCCCTTCCCAAGGACCGTGGCGTGTACCTGTCCCTGCTGGCCTCCCTCCGCGCCCGGGCCCAGCTGCCCGTGGTGGTGTTCACCTTCTCCCGGGGCCGCTGTGACGAGCAGGCCTCGGGCCTCACCTCGCTTGACCTCACCACAAGCTCGGAGAAGAGTGAGATCCACCTCTTCCTGCAGCGCTGCCTGGCGCGTCTCCGAGGCTCCGACCGCCAGCTGCCCCAGGTGTGTCTGTGGGGACAGTGGGGACAGTGGGGTGGGTGCTTGAGCCCCAGTCCTGACTGCGGCTGCCTCGCTGCTCCTGCAGGTCCTGCACATGTCGGAGCTCCTGCACCGCGGCCTGGGCGTGCACCACA